AGTGATCTGTAATGAATGAGCATACATACCTATTTACACATACGAGCAATGTTGAGAGAGGAATTCGATGACGATAACTGTCCCTGTATTGAGGAGCATATGCTTCAATGATATTATTAATAGCAGGTGGAATGTTGCACAACACGAATATCCCCGTCATCACTACAGTCATCACAGTCATCCTGAAAATAAAATATTTTCTTTAGAGTGGGGGGATATCCGATAGCACTTAGGGTTGCTATTTTAAGGGAGATAAGTACTTCACATATCAATCTAATCTTGGACTTTTAATCATGTAAACTGGAAGTGCTTTCCTATTATCGATTTGCTCTTAATATCACCAATAAGGCGAAAACGCTTTTGGACTCCTATTTAGCAAGATGTAATATTTTGAGTTAAGGTAGCTTTATGCTCCCATGAACGACATTTTAAATTGGGCAAGGACATCCGAAAGAGGAGTGCAAAACGGATGATTGCACTATGATTAAATAATTGTCAAGAAGGAGTACTTTTGTTGAACGTCTGAAGAAATATAGATTGAATTGCTCACCTTATGACCTGAAAACTCACATAAAAACAGAAACATGCGAAGCGCATTCTCTTTTATATTTTATAACCTACTCTCCTATATCTTGAATTATGTATAGTAGAAGTTAAAGCAAACTGAGTTTCAATTCTAAAAATACAAAATTATGCACCTAATCTTATAAATTCCTTGAGTGCATTTAGAAACGGTATGGAATAAAATTTCGCTTCAAAACTATATTTTTGCGTCGTATTTTTCCTGTTGTTCTTCTTTTTTGGTTGCTTTTCCTTTTTTCTTTTGTCTTTTCTTTTTTACTGCCTTCGTCTACGTAAGAAGTGCAAAAGTAGAACTCGAGCAAGTGTTTGTTTAACCTTAATTCTTTTTTTGTGTGTAAAAATTAAAGAACAAACCAAAAGTAAGTGGCGTACTTTAGAGCCTTGTAGATGTCATAAAGTTTTCGAATCGATAATGTAAGGAGAGAAAAACTCTTATTTTATGTAAATCACGTCATAGGGCAACACATTTTCGTGCATCTTTAAGTGAGCTAAGCCAGAATAGTCCCCATAAGCAGATTTGCGTGCTCACTCATGATCGTATGCTTCCAATCATTTCGTGCTTTGTGGTGATCAAATTTATGGAATAGTTGCAGTCGTGCCCATCTACGACCATTTGAAGTGCCCAGTTAATTCCAAATACGACTTTATTCTACGACTGAGTGTTAGATAGGCGAAGATAAATGAAAGACGCGAAAACATAGAGGATGAAGTTTGATCAGCAAACTACTTTATCAAATCATTAATAGATTTTTTAAAA